CGAACTTATTCAAGATGATCTTCGCCGTCTCTAAACTTCCAACTTTCTCTCCCGGAGTAACAAGGTGCCACACATGTTTCATGTATTATTTTCAAGTCTTTTTTTTTTTATTGCTTTTTGGACTGTCATATCTGAAACTCCTCTCTCACGTGTCAAATGCCTTATGGATTGAGCTGGATCTTTTCTAATTGATGTCTTTAGCTCTAAGTTGAAATGATGATCCCTCTTCTTATTGTGATCTCCTGATCCGTTTTTCTATCTCCTGTTCCATTTTTAAACTTTTTCACCGTTTTCTTGATGGTGTAGCAGACCCGGTAGCATGCAGTGCTGGCCTACGAAAAGGTGGCCTTGTGCCAGACACTACTCACAACTACCGAATTCACTAGCAAAGTAAAAATAATAAATGTATGATCTTTAGTGAGGAAAAAGGGTCATTCAACACATGCATAAAAATAGTAAAATATAGATAGCCATGAGGAAACGACGAAAACGAGTCTGGTGGAAAACAAACCATAAAACTTTATTTTAATAACAAATATTTTGTCTCAAACAATGGAGACTATCAGAAAAGTAAAGGCAGTTCTTAACCAGTAGGCAAATTGTATAATGTAGTGACGAGTAGTCAGTAATAGAATGTTGATGTTCCGCGCCAAAACGAAAATCAAAATGGCTAAGGCGGGAAAGTTATCTTCTTTTTAAACTGGTCCGTAAAGTTTAGAGTTCAAAAGGTGTATGTGAAGTTCATCAATCGGCCGTGTCCAAAAACTCTACGTTCCCTAATAGTGAACGGAGGAAAGTTCGAACTAGTTTTTCGCAGAAGGACGATGAATTAGTCTTTTTAAAAGTGTGATGACGACAGTGTCGTAGACTCTACATTCTCCGGTAGAAAATGGAGGAAGGTTCAAACAAATTGTTCGAAGAAAGTTGCAATCATATGAAAAGATTCGGCATAATGAGCCAAGGAGTCATTAGGAAGTTTTTGGTTAGTTAAGATATTCCGGCCCGCGTATGGGTAAGTGGCGCGAAATAAATGAGTCGACCTTCTTGTCCTGGAACCAGGCAGCGACTGATTTGAAAAACCACGTTCGTCAGTGACGTCAGAGAATGCGCGGGAAAACTTCAAATTCCGTTCTAGCTGGAATCAGCAGCAGTCAGCAACCTCCTCACGTCGGCAACAGACGGCTGGTTTACTACTATGTCTAGCCGAAAGTGAGGAAGGGGTCCAATTACGCGTATGCACGGAAAAATAGGTGGAATCCCTGCACGAGTCCACAATGGTTCTTGAATGAACTTTGAAGATGGAAGCCAGTCTATGAATGTGGTTACCATTACTGAAGGCAGTATATATATATATATATATATATATATATACTTATGTGTATGTAAACGTGGAAAAATTTATCGTTGTCTCTTACAGATGTATATTTAATTTATTGATTAAACGTTATTTTTCATGGATACCCATATTTTAGTAGACGCTCTGTTTTTATTTATTTATTAATCGGTATATTTATCTTTTTAGAAATGTATACTCCCTCCAGCAGTATATATATATATATATATATATATATATATATAGTTACAGGAAGTGAAATTGAAAGAAAATGAGAAAAGTAAGAATGAAGAGAATTGAGGAAAGGATAAAAATGTAAATGGCGATTGACGTTGCATTTAAATTTATAAATGTTGCAGTTATCAGAGTAGCAGGAAATCGGACGGGAAGTGCGTGAAAAAAAAACTACAAAACACGCACACAGACACACACACACACACAAACATGCCCCCCATTTTATATATATATATATATATATATATATATATATATATATATATATATATATGATTTATTATAAATAACACACATTATGTTTGGTAAGTTTTAATAAGAATCCGTTCATACTCATGAATAACCTCCCATGAATAACCTTCCATTTATTGATGTTAAAGGATGGGAGAAATGTGCTATAGCTGTTTAAATTTCTTTTTTCATTTTCCCAAGTACTTTCGATCTTCTCCCAAGATCATCGTCAGGGATGCAAATGGTCCAAACCTATATGTTCACAGTTTGCAACAAAGGTCTTCAAACGACCCTCCGCAGGTTTTGAATTCAGAGTTGTCCTTCTCTTAGATCAGTTGCCGTCCAAGGCTATAGAACCTAGTCTGTCCTGCTATTTACCCATAACCTGGGACGGGTAGAAGAAGAGGGTTCATGCCTTTCCCAAGGGTATTAACACGTAAGTGAATGTAACGGATTCGAAATAATTCGACCTCTGCTCTCCGACTATATACATGGTGTCCATAAAGTTCGCGTGCACTTTAAAAAATTATAACTTTATTTGTATTTGCGATAGAAATTATCTGGGAAAAAAATTATAAAGTTCAATGTACCTAGATTTAAGTATAACTAAAATAACAAATGTGATTTCAGGCATTACTGTAAATCAGTTGGCAAATGTCTTCCTTGAATTGCAAAATCGTATTACCCTTTGTATTGCTAATGATGGAGGACATTTGGAAACTTAAATAAAATTTCAATAAAACCTTTAAAAAATATAGATTTACTTCTTTCTAATATTTTTTACATATTACTTCTATGGCAAATAAAAATAAAGTATTACATTTTTTAAAGTGCACACGAACTCTATAGACACCCTATATATATATATATATATATATATTGGGCACTTAGACGTTGTGTGTTGGTCAGCATGCTTGTCTCACTTGATAAATAACGACTGAATAGTGAGTTGAATATTCACTGGGTGCCACATACTTTCGGGCTTGTGTCACATCTAATCTATGCTTAGTAAATCTCTTTAAAAGTTATTGTTACTCATATTTGTGTAGACGTTCCGTCTATGTTTTTCGACAGTATATTTATTTATTTTCGCCTAAAAGCCAAAATGTTTGTGAAATCATCTTAAAAAAAAAAACAACAGTTGCGCCCTCCAGCAGGATTCGAAACTGCATTCCCTTTTTGGTTAGATGTGAAATAATTTAAACCCACTTGGCTAAAAAATTCGTCATCGATGTAGCAAGACCGTATAGTTTAATTTTATAAGAATATTCAGACCTGCAGACGAAAAGAAATAAATATACTCTTTAAAAATAAACGGAGTATCTACTCAAATATAAGTATCTACTAAAAATAACATCAAAGTGATAAAATCTGTTGGATTAATAAATAAAGAAAATTCTTCAGTCAAATACTGGCAAAAAGTAACGAGTGGATAGAATGATTGCTAGCGGGTTTGTCGATGAATCTATGGAGATTGGATCCTGATGGTAAAATCAATCAGCTAAGTGAGAGACTATATATCTATCTATCTATATATTCAATTGAGAATGTGTACCTGTTCCATGTTTTCTTGCATTTTCGCACATTTGGAATAAGACAATGTGTATCGGGATCGAAATTATGAATAGATTGTCCGAAACGAAGCTTCCACCCAAATATAGGGAGCTACTAAAAATAGCATCTGAAGTCATAAAATCTGTCAGATTAACAAATTAAAAATTTTCTTCTTTATTTATATATATATATATATATATATATATATATATATATGTGTGTGTGTGTGTGTGTGTGTGTGTTGTGAAAAGTGTGTGCATATAAATATAAATATGAATATATATATATAAGTTTTGAACAATCAAAAATATTAAAAAAATAAAATTTTGACGCTGGGTTTTATATTAATATTTTTATTATTTCAGTTAGGCTCCTCGACTAGTTTCGGCCAGTATGGCCATCATCAGGAGAAAAAGAAAATTTGGAAGGGAAAAAAATCTGCTTGCTAGTAGCAGTGAACTACAGGTTTGAATGACAGTTTATGAAGAAAATGAACTTTATCTGTAGTTTTCATTTCTTTTATATTCCTTAATTTTGGTCAGGTCTTGTGTTGGTCAAACGGCCTCTTTCAATTTGTTTTTTTAAAAAAAGACGAAATTTATGAGTGTCAGAATTCCCTTTTTGGTCAATTTGATAGTTTTATTCGTTGTTGATGTGCGTGTTAACTTTATGTTATCTTTTAATTTTGGGGGAGTATGTATGATATGTGTAAGTCTATATAAAATGAGTGTGTGTTTAAAAAATGTGAGGACTCAACACCTTTTTACAATCATGTCTGCCTTTGTGTGTATGAGAAATTTGGGTAGGGATTGATTTATGGGGTTATATATTAATTCTATTTATGTTGTTAAATTTGTGGTTTTATAGCTATCTATCTATTTATATAAATATATATATATATCTATATATATATATATATATATATATATATATATATATATATATATATATGTATATATATATATATATATATATATATATATATATATATATATATATATATATATATATATATATATATATATATATATATTCAGCCTCAAATAAGCGTCTAGTTTGGAAATTTCGAATTAAATTATATATATATATATATATATATATATATATATATATGTGTGTGTGTGTGTGTGTGCAATTATTAAGGTGTACCTGTTCAATATTTTATCCCATTTTACAACTTTTGAAATAAGATAATACCCAGCAGTATTGAAATTTGGATAAATTGTCCGAAACACATATTTTTGCTTGCACATTCTGCTGTCTCATTGATTATTTAGAATTGGCTGTTGTCGGATTCTGTTGCCTACATCCTGGAATTTTTACAGGGTTGGTATTTGAATCAGTTAAGAGTGACGTCAGAGTGACGGCTTACATAACGGTTAGAAAAGGCTAAACCGTACCGGACAAGCATTTTCAAATATTTACAGGTATTGTTATAATTTTGTACGGAGATTCAATATCTTATGCACATTTGAAGATGCCGTCTCCTGTCGTGTAAGACACTTCAGATAATGTGGTTCGCATAATGATTTTGAGTCTTTCTTTGCATTGTGTGCTGAGGAGTATTTGCTTCTTCTCTAATAGAATTTTGAATCTTCATTGCTGAGTATTATTTACGTATTATTTAATAGCATTTTGACTCTTTCTTTGCTGAGCAGCAGTTTATTATTATACAATAGCATTTTGAATCTTTTTCTACTGAGTATTATTTATTTATTATTTAATAGCATTTGAAGTCTTTCTTTGCTGAGCAGCAGTTTCTTATTATCTAATAGCATTTTAAGTCTTTCTTTGCTGAGTATTATTTACTTATTATCTAATAGCATTTTGAGTCTTTCTTTGCTGAGCAATATTTTCTTATTATCTAAAAGTATTTTGAGTCTTTCTTCGCTGAGTATTATTTACTTATCATCTAATCGCATTTAGAGTCTTTCTTCGCTGAGTATTATTTACTTATTATCTAATAGCATTTTGAGTCTTTCTTTGCTGAGTATTATTTACTTATTATCTAATAGCATTTGTATTATTTAAATGTTTGGAAAAATAACATTTTGGGATTCACCTCTAAACTTTGTCAATGTTTGATATTAAATTGTATAAGTTTTTAACTGGAATAAATCTAATATCCAGTGGACGACAAATAACAAAATGCGAGAATCACCAATCCTTTTGGCCGTGGCAAATAATAAATAAAATCTCTTCACCCTTCTTTTTCCCCACACGGGTCTGTTTCTCACTTCATTCACTTGAATTCTACGATAAGAGGTGCGCTTTTCGACTTTGCTTTATTAGTTTTTACTAAGACCACCCAAGAGTATAAAATGAAGAGGATTAAATAATAATAATAACAATAATAATAATATTAAAATGATAGTGTATGTGTGTGTGTGTGTGTGTGTGTGCGGAATTATCCGGTGGAATTCGACGTATCAAAGCTTAATAGATCATCTTTAGAAGTGAACATATTTCTTTATTCTCAATATTACTAACTTTTCGTATTGTTATCTGGTATTTTGAACAAACCAAGAGGCCTCAAAAACTTAAAGCAAGAAAACGGATAACGGACAAGGTGTCTTTTTGGACACGTGATATTGTCTGATCCATCATATTTGACGTCGTCCCCCGGTCGCAGCGTCGATTGTGTCGTTCGATCTCGTTCGCGGCGCCAATTGTGACGTGACGTCGTCATGGTTCTGATCCTATGGTCACGACACCAGTTGTGACGTCACGTGCTCCCCAGGCTCTGATATCCTGGTCACGGACAGCACCAGTTCTGACGTCTTTGCCGCGGCGCCAGCTGTTCGCTCCTCGCTGCTCCAAACGTGACGTTCTAACCCTTTGGTTAGGTTGATACCAGCCTCGTCGTTCCCAACCTGCTTCCAACGCCTGTTTACCAGGGTAACTGCACTGATCTCCGGTCTGCCTACCCACGTTGTGACTTGATCTTAGACAGACGAGATCAAACAGGGCTTGGGGCCGTAATGCAAGTCGAGTCTAACGGGGGTGATAACACACAATTATGTATAATAAAAAAGAAATAAAATAAAAACTCACAAGGTCCAACGTATCAAGAAAAAAGGTAACAAACTTTTTATGTCTATTTGCTCGGTACATAGGACTATGTCTACTTCCCGACCCGTTCTGTGGATTGTGGCACAACGCTTTTACTAGGCAACTTTAAGGCTTCTAGTTGTCTGCTCTCTACGAAATTTGTGTTTCGGCGTGTCCTTGGACGAAAGTCGAAAAAAACTTATTTCTGTGGTCTGATTCTAAGTCGCTCTTCAAACTACTTGTTCTTGGTTGAAGAAGAGTCCAGAAGTGTGCGTGAATCTTGGTCAGCTATCATGACGCGGTTTCAACACTGGGTGCTCATCTCTGCTTGTCGTTCACGGCTCAAACTCCAATCAGCTCGCGGCGAAACTCTCTCGCCGTCCGCTCTCAAACTGCAATCCGCTCGCCGTCCGAGGCTGATCTTCTTCTCTTCAGAGTCTGAATTATTGGTCACTCATCTCCGCCGTCAGTGCGCGAATTAACTTCTTCTCTTCTCTGATTCCAACTTCTCCACTTAGGCCAAACGAGCTGCTTTCTTCGGCCAAACGAGCCTGCCTTCCTTCGGCCAAGGGGGCTGGCCTCTCCTGCCCGCCGTAGGGGGAACGAATCCGGCCCGCCGTCCGCGGCGCAAACTGATTTCTGTCGGTTGGGGTCCCGCTTTTATTGACGCAGTCAAAAACTGGGGTGGGTCTGTCGGCGCCAGGGGTTTTCTTTGATAATTCTAAATACGTATCCACCGTTCTTATTTCTGGTTAGGGATTTTCCATTTTCGGTAATTCACTTTTCACTTATTGTGTCTCTGAGGGCGTATACCCGCTTCCCCGCTTCCTTCGTATCGGCTCGACCAATTACACCTCTGACAAGGGCGTCGACCGATTCTCCTCGTGCGTCACGTGACCGCTTTCGGCCAATGAGGTCCTGGTCGGGTATTTTTCCTCCTCCTTCGTGCGCCACGTGATCCCATCTAGCCAATGGACGTCTTTAGTCTTTAATCGGGCGTGGACAATCCGTGGCTTTGTTCTGGGGAAGAAACACCTTGCTAAAAAAAAAAAATAAAAATTTAAATTGCCCTTTTCGTGCGTGACCGAAATGACGCTCTCGGTTTTTTTAACACGCGGTATTTGTCAAACAGTTTATCGCTAATTGGATACGATCTAAGAAAGGGATTTTCAGACTGGGTGGCGTTTTCGTGAACGAAAAAAAATATTTCACTTTTTTTTCCTTTCGCTAATAAAAATTGATAATCAAAAAAAAATCTTAATTATCTCAAAAAAAACATTTTCAGCCAACATCATCTTGTGTGGTTTTTTTTTCAATTCTGGAAATTGTCTGTGCTGTTCGTATTAATGGTTTGTCTTCATATCCTTAGATAAACTTCCCATCTGTTACCTATCATATTTTTTTTCCATTGTCTCTAAACTTTATTTCTTCAACCAAATTGATAACAAACTTCCATTTTTCGTGGACACGGAAGTAGGTCAGGTGTTTGACCGGGATACCTTCCAACATCTGTTATGTATCAATCGAGTGTGTGTGTGTTCGCTTATGACCTGGTTTTCGTATTATATTTTTTTTTTTTTTTCTTCTTCTCTTCTTTCTTTCTCCCAGATCGCTTGAACGTAAAGAAAGAATTATTCTCAAAACCCAAATATTTTTCAGCTCTAAATAATTATCAAATGTTTGACAAACCGCAAAAAAATAAATCATATATTTATGAATATTTCCTCTCAGCCTGCCAACTTATGCATGGTGCCACAATATCAACGACTATCAGATGTAGATAGAACACTATATATTTTTATAATAATATTTACCCAATACGATGCCCAAGAGCCAATCAAGGTAGCGAATTATTCAATAGAGCTATATGATCGTAAGAGAAGTCTTCAAGTATTTGAATCGTGATGCTATCCCCTTATGTTATAGGAGCCAAATCATGGAGTACTGTTGCCACATTTGGAGCTGTCCAGACCTAACTTTTCAGTCATGATAAGAGTTCAAAAGTCCTATTTAGTGAAGAACTATTTTCCACACTCAACCCTCTCTCCTTACGGCTAGGACCCGCCACTCCATTTACATATTAGCAAACTACCCACGTTCCCTTCGTATTTCACTCAGGCAGCTTCTTCCCGCGAAACACTGGCCTGTGGAACAGACTCCCAAAAGGATGTTTTCCTGATCCCTACAATCTCAGCCTGTTCAAGTCTAGAGTCTTCAATTCCTATCCATCTAAACTGACCCGTAACATAACCCTCTAACTCGAATGGTCCCCGGGCTTCGTACATTGCGGACTTTACTGTAAGAAAAAAATGCAGTTCTTGAGGTTTTATAATATAGACGACGGTTCACCACGGACTTAAAGAAGTTTAGATGGTGGAGATCGGAAACACCCCACCTTTATTCTGTTCAACAAAGCAGCAGTTCTTCCTCCCTACTAATGCAATACGAAGGGAATGAGAATGATTCATCATTGTGTACATGGCATGGTGGGCCCCAACCGCAAAGGTCAAGATTAGTATAAACAAGGAGTTAGCTCTTCAGAACACTTAGAATAGAAATCCAGAGACGAATATGCAATGTGGTTGGCCCTGATCTGGCATCTCGTTTGCAGTCATTCTCTCAAAGACGTGTCGTCGCTTCCCCCTGTCATTTCTACAAATACTTTCAGGGTAACTGCGCCGACAAGCTACTGTCGCTAGTTCCCAAAATGCATGAATTTAAACGAGCCACTGTGTCGGCATCTCGGTGTCACCCTTTCACTGCCGAAACGGTTAAATGTAGCCGTCTCTTCTACTCCAATAGATCCATGTATCGCAATTCCCGTCTGTAGAACTCCCTTCCTCTTAGTTGATTCCCTGATAGCTATAATCTCCAACTATTTAAATGCAACGTCAATCGATATCTCCAGATGCCTTGATCTGTTTCCCGTCCTTCTCTTCATCTTTTCCTCTATCACGACTTTTCATTATTGCTCCCACACTATGTAAACCCTTGCGTGATAGTGGCACTAGAAATAGCGATAGAATAGTGACAGGTTTGCAATATTTCGTCTGTGGGAAAGGTGTTGTCGGGTAGAAAATGTTTCATCACTTACAAGGCATCGTAGATGCTTTTGAAATCTATCGAGGCAAGAAAGTGAGGATTGGCTAGTTGCATCCCAGATATGGCATTAGTATTACCGGGAAAAGGAGGCACTACATTCTGACATACAGATTATCTACTCTTGATATGGTCATGCACTAGTAGATTTCGCCCGCTCGCAATATGGACATTTCTCTAGTTTTCCTACGGTATTAATTTTCATTATTTATGAAATGTTGAAGGGGTTGTGGACGTTCAGTGTATTTGTTCAAAGACTGTAAAGAAAGAAGAAATTAATTGGTTGGGTGTGAGGGCAGGCTTGTTATAGTTAAGGAAAGTTTTACAAATAGATGCCAAATTGTTGAAGCCCAAGTAAAATGCAAATTTCAAACATTTTGCTGCATTATATAAGAAAATATTCGTAAACAGAGTAATTTTTTATATGAAAATCAAAACAATCCTTGAATAAAAGAACAGTAATAAAGGACAGTTAATTAATGAAATATACTTTTTTAAAAATCAATATGCAAATTAGTTAAAACTGAAAAGTGATATCGCCTAGAAGTAGATAATAAATAACCCTGATATTAGTGTGTAAATCAGAGTTGGGACCTCTTAACCTCAGAGAATGAAAAGTGAGTATTTGTGGGAGAATTAAGCTCCAATTTCGCATGAAGTTTGTTTTCTGTGTCGCGCCAGAAAGTTTTTTTCCCGCCCGGGTCCATCTTCAAATCTATAAATCAACTGTTCGCCCTTTCATGGAATACTGCTGCCATATATGGTCTGGAGCCCACGCTATTCGTCTTAGGGTCCTCGGCAAAATCCAGAGACGGATATGCAATGTGTTTGGCCCTGATCTGGCATCTCATTTACAATCGCACTCTCAGAGACGTGACGTCTCCTCCCTCTCTCATTTTTCCAAATACTTTCACAGTAACTGCATGGATTTAAGCGTGCTACTAGGTTGGCATCTCGGTCCCACCCTTTCACTGTCGAAACGGTTAAATGTAGCCGTCTCTTCTACTTTAATAGCTTCATGTGTCGCACTTCTCATCTGTGGAACTCCTTTTTTTCTTATTACCCTGATACCCTGATAGCTATAATCTCCAACTATTCAAATGCAATGTCAATCGACATCTCCAGATGCCTTGATCTATTCCCATGTCCTTCTTTTCATCTTTTCTTTTATCATGCCTCTCTACTCTTGCTCCCACTCTCTGTAACCCCTTGCATACTAGTGGCACTCCCGCCTTGCTTGGGTGAAATGTTTAAAAAAAAAAGATGTATCAAAAAATGTTAGTGTCTAGTTTTAGATAGTGTCATATACTGCAATAAATTTCAGGGTGGTAAAAGTCTAGTGCAAGTAGGTTTCATATAATGGAGGCGCACTTATTATTATTCCATTACAGCCGTTTGAGAGGGGTCAATGTGTGTGCTTTCGAGAGGTCGCATGGTCATTGCAAAAGACTGATGTACATGCATATATTGAGCACGAATGTCGGTGGCTTTTTGATGTTAGCAACTGTGGTCAAAGGATGTATCACTTCACCCGTAGATAATAACCCTTTCGGTATCGTAAAAGTAGCACAGACAGACCGTTCGGCGACCCCAGTACAGACCAAAGCAAATAAGGACCCAGATGCGGCCAGGATGGCTGAAAATTGTAGAAAAACGGCTATGCTTTTCTTTTTCCTGTTTTTTCATCGGAATGTGACACATAGATATAATTTGATTAGCTTCTTCATTAATCAATTCTATGACTTTTCAGTTTTCTCTCCATCCATCGATTTTGATTGCATTTTCTGGTTTTCTGTTTTATAAGACAGTATTCTGATCATACTCAGAGCCAGAAGAAAGAAAAAAAGAAAGGAAAAAGAATAGTGCGATGGTATAAGGAGACAAAAAATGATGAAACGAAAAATTAACATGAAATTCTAAACATGTGAATATATACACGCGCAGGGGCCTATAACGAAATTGAGAAAATCGGCAGTACATTGCAGATACCTCCTGATGAGTGGAGCGATCGATTACAAAAATCTTTGTCTAAAGAACTCTGGATTCGAGGTGCTGAATATAACGTCAATCAGCTAAGTGACAAATTTTATATTTGTATTATATATATATATATATATTTGTATTATATATATATATATATATATATATATATATATATATATATATATATTGATGCAGGTTTCATTAAATAATATAGACAAATTTTGTCTACTTATTTTAAGTAAATTCCTTTCATATTGCCTGATAAGCTTAATAACATTATCATGGAAAGATGAAAGAAAATAACCATATTGATACATGTTTTTTAATCCTATTTAAGCTTTCGGCTTACATAAGCCATTATCAAAGAAAACAATTACATTTCAATATATTAAACAATACACGGACAAAACAATAATGTTTTTGCTGCATAATTAATTAAAGTATATGAGGACTTGAAGATTGAGATCTAAAAAGATTTTTTAGAGGGCTTGAAATGAAATAAAAATTATTACCTATGAGATTTTAAGTGTCTGATATTCTTTAATATCTATCTATCTATCTATCTATCTATCTATCTATATATATATATATATGAATAAATATTTCACTCATATATTATTTTTAAATAATTAATATTTTATTCATGTTTTACAGATATATTTTATTTATATTTAAATACTTATACAGTTTTTTACGTATAGATTTGTTTTTATTACAAAATAAAATAAATATAAAATATTTGAATAAAATATTAATTATTTAAATATATATATATAAAAATATTTATATATATATATATAACAACATATATTACAACATAATTGCCCCCAAAATGTTTAATATCTTAAAAGCCACTAATTGAGTAACTGAGTTTCTTATTTCCATGTTTTCAGATTAGATGTTTGGCAATCTAGATACCATTTTCTTAAGATTCACTGAAAACCATTTGAGTTATTCAGCTAGAAAAAACAGGCTAAAATCGTTTTGTGATAGCCCCACTGTCTTCTCAACTGAG